ATGAAATAACATTTCATTTAAAATTAACCATTCTTGCACAGTTTTAGTATTATCCATCATAAAACTTTGCAGGTATTTCCATGTATGTTTGATGATGTTAATCCATCTAATTAGTTGCGATGTTCTGCGGGTACATGGTAGTCAGATTTTGCTAAACTTTGGCATAATGACATTTAAAGAATAAAATTTACTGCAACCCCAGTATGTTTTAACTGGATGACAGTTCTTCATTATGCAGTGTGGTTTCTCTTTATCCATAAAAATCCGTATGGGGCCTTTATGGGTAAAGAAAGTAAGCTAACAGTATTGGTACAATCGCTTTAGAATTACTTTTCTATGAAGTATTCTGCACTCATGCTCACTCTGGCCAAAATTGTATTGAATTTACTACTATGGTGGACTTGAAGAATGACATGCCAAAATTGTGCAACTCATCAGAGACACTCATAGTACATGAATATTAATGAGTGAGGGTGGGATATTGCTGTTGGTACTTATTCTCCAGATTTGAGCAGAATCTGTACTACAGGTCAACCTAAGTTGAGAACACTGGATATACTAGAAAGTTCATGCGTCTGCAGAAGAATATAGTTCTACCTTTTTGAGAAGTAATATTGTAAACATTAATAGTAATATTGTAAACATTAACTGGGAAATATGAATACTGCTGAACAAGGAGAACGTAAGGGAAAAAATGTGTAAAACGATAGATTACTTTGCGTCCAGCTTTTTGAATTAAAAATTTGCTAAATCATGTCAATTATTCGATGACCAGCAGGAAGACATCCCCTTTTTTTGGCATTATTGGCGAAATTGCAAATTCCAGCAACCCTGAACTTCACCCCCACTCTCAATGAGAAAAGCAATTAAAGCATTCATTCATTCACTGCTCGGGAGCAATTGTCATGGCATCTGCATCATCTTTGACATATGTGTTTAATTTTCAGCTTCATAAAGCTGGAAAACAATTGCACAGTGCCTCAAGAATACCGTTATGAATGTTTTTGTCAAATTATGGGTGCATTTTCCCAATAAATCCAATAACTGTATTGTTACTTTTGTTGCTGATTTGACTGGTATTTCTGTAACAAGTATAAATCACATGAAATCCAAATTGAAAGAAAATGGAGGATTTTCGACTCCAGGGGAGAAATGACCTCTGAAATTTGGTACGCAAACCCAAATCAAACGATATGAGGAGTTAACTTTAGCAACAATATGAAGGAAAGTTCGTGGTTTCTTTTTACAAACTGAAATTCCCACTGTGCAAAAAATGGCTAAAGTTATAAACGATGAAGCTGATTTGCCAAGTATGTCCATTATAAATACAAGCTAACATCCATTAGAAAATATAATATGAAAGTGTCCCACCAGTAGCCAAATGTTTAAGATCGCTGAATACTGGTAGTTTGACATTGTTTGAAGCCAAGCGAATGGGCTGGATTGATGCTCAGTTTTCGTGGTTTTTCCCATGTATAATGTGAATACGAGCCCGTTTCCTTTAGAAAGTCCTCCACGAATATATCTCATCCCATAGTCAGATAGCTCTTGTGTGCTTTGCCATATTCAAATCACTGAACCTAATTAATACGGAAGTACTGATCAATTAAGTTAACTGTGGTAGAAGGAACAAGGATTTCTGTCTAAAGGATGAGATGTCTTCATGGAGACTTTATAAGGGCAAAGGACTACATATAATACACTGAGATACTCTAATGCAGAGCTTACATTACAGTTTAATTTTTTAATAATTTTTTAGTTCATATGAACATTTGCGCTTTGTTATAACTAAGAAAAAGACATTTCTAATGTTAGATTTTTAACTGATTGGTATAAGATCATTTATGTCTTAATTTTTATGTTTGTTTGACAATTTTAAAGTTTTTAATATTTTTTTATATTTTGAAATTTTTAATGGTAAACTCTTTAGTCATTAGACTGTAATCCGAAGATCTCAGTTTCCAGTATTTTTATTTATTTTATTTTTGATTTTAAACAGTAATAAAAAAGATAGGATAAGACGTACTGTAGGAGAGTGATTGTCTGGGCATGACTGGAAGAGTATGTGTCTTAGGAGATAATGCAGGATATAATTTTTATTGATGTCTGTTACAAAATATAATCAGAGTTTTTAAATAATCGGAAATTAAAATCAAATTAGCATCTTTAGAAAATAAAAATAGGCATTTTTCTCTGGTTCACTGTTTCGGAAGCAAAAAACTCTTAAAAATTAAGAGAAAATTACTTCTACCAGATTTTCTAAATTTATGCATTTTACTTTTAACTAAGCGAATGGTCTTGGGAAAAAAATTTAACCCAAACTACAAGGAATACATTGTTAGCTCTTCCGTTTCAAGTTTTAAGTAATGATTCGGGTTTTAAATGTCATCAAATTTGTATGCATCCTATTTAGATTATAGTGAAAAATTTCATATAAATTAAGACAATAACATGCCCTACATTTTACACTACTATGAACTATGTAACAATTTCAACTGCAGCTTCATCGCATAAAAAGATTGTTACTTAAAAATACACTGGGTTTGGCAAAAAGTTGGCAAATGTGTAGCAAATTGGAGGAATTGAATTTCCATGGTCGGTTTGGTGCGTATGGATAACTTGCAGAACAGGGTGAAAAGGTCGTTCTAGCCTTGTATGTGTTCTGAGATTAGCTTGTCGTGAAGTATAAGATCAGATCCATGAATTCCATCATGGCCAAGGAGAGAGAGAGTGCCTGTTGTTGGCAAAGCCCATGGGCACTTTCTAAGTGACAGTACAACTTTGCTGAGCTCTGCCTGATTTTGATCAAAAAACTCTCTTGGGGGGTTGATGAAATACAAGCATAGAAAGATACATGTAAAATAATAGAAGTAAGTAAAAGGATGTGCAAAGTTGAAGAAAAAGTTTTAAATTCCAGACAGATGTTAAAATGATATGCGATATGCCCACCTCTGTTATCCACTGCATATGGTTAGAAAAAAAAGAAACAGTGGTATCATTAGTACCAGCTGTGTCAGTCAATACTTCTGTCACAATACTTTTATTAAAGGTGCTCAGTGTAAAGTTATTATCCCAATTGACATTGGACATAAAACCATAGTCAGAGATTCGCTGCTGTTCAATCAAAGAATAAAGAGGTCATGAGAATGGAAAATGATCAGAGATGATACAGGTCTCATAATTATCTTAAAGCATTTGAGTTTGGTTTATTTGATTATGGCAAAGCACACGAAGACTATCTGTCTAAGAGAAGGGATGTCTTGGTGAAAGACCTTTTAAAGAAAACTGGCTCATTTCCATGTTATACATGTGGAGAACCACGAAAATCACCCAGTCACTGTTCAGTGACTTAACCACTCAGCCACTGGTGGGCCCTTAAAGCAGTCATTTCGTGCTAAATGGTATGTGTGTCTGAAATGCCATCCTACATCCAAATGGCATTCTGGAAACCATCCCATACCCATAACTTTGAAATAAAATCAGCTGGTTAGATTTGGGATAAAATGAGCTGTGACCACCATATTGTGATTTTGGAATTGTGCAGTGGTGTCTGCAGTAACACATTAAGATTAGTTTCAGAGTGATAAAAACAATTCTTGAGTAGCTGTCCTGTAAGTTAGGGATCCAATGAGATTGGAGCATTGTGTAATGCAGTTTCACAAATTTACAGCATTAGTTCCCTGAAAGTCACATCCTTCTTTGCCATGAAGTGTGTAACCATTGTTGAAACTGGGAAGAATTAGTACATTTGTTTTACCATTCCATCTGCAAAGTACATACCATATAGTACAGGTATTCTACCATAGCTCGCTTACTTCTTATTGCTTATTGACCAGTAACTCAATTTTTTAAATTTTATTTGCACCATTCCAATGCCATATACTGTTCATCATCAGTTAGAATTGTGTGCCATTGTTCAATCTCAGTGTTTGTAGAGAAAGGTTTTTAGATGTTATTACTTTAATTGCAATTGTGGGTGCATTTTAGACTTCATTCGGTCAAAGACTGTGGCTTAAGGCTTCAAAGTCATTAAGCGTGTTCACACTCATGGAAATGTGCAGCTGATTTGTCAAAATCATTGACTGAATGTCAGTTTATGTTTATTTCTGTATGATTGCTTGGTTTTGTTGACATAAAATCAAAAAGTTAGAACATTTAAGCAAAATCCTTAAAGCAGTCTTTGCAACATAGCAAGGTCTGGTTGCCTAGCAACAAAGCTCAACTTATTCCCTTTATGATCAAAAGGCCCTTGTCTGAACTGAACCCTGACTTGATTCATATTCTTGCATAATGTTAGTGCATGTCTCTCACACTTATTCTGAAAAAATAGTATATTCCTTGCTTTCTCTTCTCCTGAGGTTGTCATTAGGGGATTATGTTTGTTTCTTTATGACCACTTTGTACTTATCCTTTACGCTGCCAGTAAGTCCTGTCATAATCAGAAAACGTTGGCACAACTTCATGTCAAACAAAACATCTCTTAAAAATTTGCTTTAGTTGTTATCTTCATTTGGCATCTTGTATGGGATATTAAGTAGAAATCTATTATTGTTTGTAATTTAAAAAGAGTGTTTTAAGCATATAATTTTCTGCTCGGCTGAGCTAGCATCATTTTAGAAATAATATTTTAGGATTCTGAATTGTTAAGTTGAATATAGAAATTTCCCCTTTAAATTGGTTCTACAAATGTCCATCTGTTTGAAAAATTTCAAGCTGCCTTTAATGTTGCCAAGTGTGATTGGGCATTTGGACATAAATATCAGTTATTTTTGTTGCTGAAAAATTATGTTTATTTTCAGAATTAATGGAGTGATAGGAGAAAACTGTAGTTATATGTTTTGTGATAAATAAGGAGCATGGCTTTTACCTGTAGCATTTATGCTTTTGTATCTAAATTAAATCTGGTCTGTAAAAATTCATACATATTGTTCTTGCAAAACTTTAGCTTTCAGCTTATTTATTTGCCATAAAAGTAATGTTGGAATTCTTTTTATATTAAGTTAGGTTATGTGAGAAAGCTGAAGACTGTCTATCCTGGAATAGAAGTTTACATAGAGGATTTTTTCAAAGCATTTTGCTCACGTTATGTTACATTCATGGAAACGTAATTCATCACTCAGCTGACTGATTTTATCCAAGAAATGAGCTGAAAGAAATGTTTTGTCTGTTTTTGGATAGGTGAGTGTAAAATCATTTTTATAAAGAAGTAAAATAATAATTCATTACTCTTAAAAGATTGAAAAATTGAGTAAGAGGAATGAAAATTATTTTTTGTTGTCTCTTGCCATTTGTAATTTTATTTGGCTACTTTTTAACCTTCACTGAAGGGATATAAATAATTTATTTGACAGATACTATTATACTTCTTAAGGAAAACATTAACATATGCAGTTTTCAGAACTTTGCTTGTCATATGATTCTCTGTGCGACACGATTTAAGAAAATGGAAGATAAATTTTTAGTTAATAATTTATTTATAATGGAAAATGAAAAGCAGTAAAAAATTTACTGTAGCTATCTGTTTTTATGTTTGAAATTAGTGATAAGTAATGCACCTCATCATTAATATGTGTGACAAATTTGTGTGAATTACTGTATTCTGGAAAAAATTTAGGAATCTAAGAATAAAACATAAATTAAATAATTATATTAAAAGGAATCTTGAGAAATTTACTTAGGGTTAGAACTTACGTTCGTATTAGTTTAAGCTGTAATGTGCTTTTGTCTAATTAAGGGTATTGCCAATTTGTAAAGTTTTTTTATATGTCCTTAAATGAGAGGCAGTGGCGTAAATAAGGGTATTCAAGGAATGCTGTCGCATAGGGGCCCAAAGGTTTAGGGGGCACTTGAGTGTCCTACTGAACTACGTTTGCATGCTTAAACTTAAAACACGGTTTCTATTATCTATTAACACATACATAATAGTTCTTTTTAATTTTTTAAGGGCCCCCTAATATACGATGCAGATGAAACAGCTAAATTCAGTGTTACAAACACCTAAATTTCAACTGAAGGAAAGCAAAATTTCATTTTGATTCTCCTCTAGAGAACAGCTTTCAAGTTATTAGTAATAACTGAGGCCAGGCTGTTGATCATCTATTGTGAGAACAAGTTCTATATTTCTTGGGGCCGGGCACGTGCAAGATGCAGTCCAAGGTGTAAGACAGCTACGTAAATATATTGAACTTCTTCAAAATATTTACGTGCATTTTGGTGAAATTTTTAAAAGATGGAGTTTATTTTCTTCTTTGATACTATTCTTAAAATTCTAAATCCTACAAGGCGGGTTGGACGATTATCATTTTTGATAGCAATTAAACTAAGATAATTTGACATCTTAAAAACATTGAATTATATTATATTAACATCAAAGAAAGCATAAAGAAAAGACATTGCAAATGGGTTAAAAAACTGGAGTTAAATTTTTATTCTTAACAATTTTTATGGAAAACGTTTTATCTTTTACTAACGCAGCGTCTCAAGTATTGCAAAGAAAATCAATCTCATCAATATTCAAAAGGTGTTTCTATCAGTATACAAAATATGAGAAACAAGTTTGAATATATTATGAAAGAAGCTTGAGTTTGTTGCAAATAAATGGAGTGCGGGAACTAAATTTGAGAATGAAAATAAATAAATAAATAAAATAAAGACAAAAAATTGTATGGTTTAATGTGAGGATAATAGGTTTGAAAATATATCTTTTAAAGTAAATGTTTTTTATGCTGCTGTTGCTTTTTTAAATACTCAGTTAACATATAGAATGACTGGAATGACAAAAATCGCAATAACGTTTTCCTTTTTTGGACCTAAAAATCTGTCATAATTAACAAATGTGGAAATTATTAATAATATTTCAAAAATACAGAAAACATATAAAGGAGACTTTACTAATGCGCTGGAAGTAAGCTGCTGTTATTTTATAAATACTTTCAGATCAGAAATCCATTAAGAATGTAGTTAAATTAGCAGTGGTAAAATATTATGACATGGCAAGCAGTTATTCTGAAGTGTACAATTTATTTGTATTGTGTTTATCATTACTTGTAACCACAGGCATGAGTGAGAGATTATTTTCAAACTGTAACTTTTAAAAACATATTTGAGAAACACTATGACACAAGATTGGTTGTCAAACCTATCACTATAGAGCGTTGAAGATGAGATGTCTGAGAATAGACGTCCAGGTATTGATAAATAATTTTGCGGAAATGGAGGTTAGGAGCAGCAAATTTTAATAAAGGAGTTTTGTCTTTATGATGAATTTGGCCACTAGCATTACAATTATACTTAATTATAAAAAAAAAACATCAGAGAAGACCAGTATGGATGGAGAAAAATTAAAAGAAAACAAGGAGAAAATAACCATACATATTTTTAAAGAAAATCATGTATTCAACTAGTTTAGTGTACCAAAAAGTATTTTAAGAAGAGAGGGGAAAAAAACTTTACTATACCATACCATAAAAAACTTTACCACTTACCCTATTTTCTACAAAGATTGTATGTTCAAATAATTCTCTTTATGAAATTTATGATAAATATGTTTTATATTTAACAAATGTATCATTTACATCATAAAAGTTCTTATTTATTACTTGTATATAATTGCATAAGTCATGTTCACAGAGCAAAGAGAGTAAATCACACTGCACTATATATTAGTGTAATTTCTTATTTGTACATTTACCTATTAAGCTGTCTATCAGTTTATATCAGGGTTTCTTAAACATTTTTCAGTCATGACCCCTTTTTATCATAGAAATTTTTTCACGACCCCACAACCCCATAAAAAAGAAAATTTTGTGGGACCCCATAAGCATTGCACAAATCCGACACACACGTGTGTGAAACTGTCAATTTTTTCACTTGTACTGTAATATACTATTCTAGTTTTAGGTCATTAGCTTTAATTTCTAATTTTAAGACATAGAAAAATATGAAAATTTTAAATACGTAACAAATGAAATGACAGCATCACATGCAAAGCAAGTAAAATGAATGTTTCTTTATAAAAAGAATACATCGAAGTGTTTTCCTTTTTTCTTTGTATGTATTCTCTTATCTTTATCTATTTTCAGATACATTGTGTAAAAATATTTGGTAATTGTAAAATTATTATAATAAGTTACTGAAATATCAAATCTGCCAAATTTTTTGGCGACCCACAGTTTAAGAAACACTGGTTAATAGTATAACCAGTCATTTATTATTTGATAAACTAAACAAAAAAAGTAGATTGGAGCAGATTTCATGTGAAATATTTTGATATATTATTTATACTACACTGGTGTGCAAAAATTAAGGACGAAGTCGAAAAATTAGCATATCAGCTGAACGAAGAGGCAGAGCGGACAGAAAGACCAATCAGGAGATTAAGTAGGTGATGTACGGTAGCACATGCTCAGATATGCAGGTAGACATAATGGGGGAGTGTCTGAGTAGTATAAAGCATGCTGTCGGTGTAAGATCAGTATTTCTGGCAAAGAGATTGCACGCTGTATAGCAGTTAAAATCACACCGAGTTGCTGCCTCAGCGAGAAATGGCGAATAATCAATCTGTTAGACGACATCTGGATGCTTTTACCCGAGGTCAAATCATTGGGAAGTTGGAGGAAGGCCGCAGTATGACAAGTGTGACTGCAGAGTTCGAAATTGCTCACAGCATTGTTTCACGACTTTGGAGACAATTTCAAACTACAGGAACATCAATCCGGGGGCTTAGTAGTGGTCGTCCACGAGGAACCACACCCGCAGATGACCGGTGTATTGCCTTACAGGCCAGAAGGAACAGGTGGCAGACAGCGGGAGAAATCGCTAGACACACGACACAGATGACTGGACAACCAATATCGCGTTTTACCGTGGCCAGAAGACTGCACGGTGGTGGTCTGTTTGCTTGACGCCCTGTACGGTGTGTACCTCTAACGCCTGCCCATCGGAGAAGGCGTTCTCTGTGGTGCCGGGAACACCGTAATTGGAGAGACAATGAATGGGGACGAGTACTCTTTACAGATGAGAGCAGATTCAGTCTGAGTAGCGATTCTCATTGCGTACTCATCTGGAGAGAGCGGGGAAGCTGCAATTATCCCTCGAACATCATTGAAAGGGACAGGTATGGAGGTGGCGGTGTTCTCTTTTGGGGAGGCATCATGCTTGGTAGTCGTACAGACCTTCACATATTCGATGCAGGTTCAGTCAACGGGACCCGTTATTGTAACGAGATTCTTCTTCCCTATGTGCATCTTTTTAGAGGCGCTGTGGGTCCGCAGTTCCTTTTCGTGGACGACAATGCACCATGTCATCGCACAGTAGCTGCCGAACAGCTCTTAGAGAGTGAGGATATTGAATGTATGAATTGGCCGGCACGATCTCCGGATCTCAATCCCATCGAGCATGTATGGGATTTTCTAGGCAGACGCTTGGCAGCTCGTACCTTACCACCGGTAACGATTCCGGAGCTTCGATTGGCGCTGCAAGACGAATGGGCAGCAATGCCTCAACAACTCATTGACACCCTCATTCTCAGCATGGGCAGACGCTGTGAAACCTGCCTAGCAGTCAGGGGAGATCATATCTCCTATTAAAGACCGGATGCTTCTTGCTGGACACTCATCACAGGGATGTTTCGGCCTTCAGTCGCATTGCGCTCCATGGTACTTTTTCAATAAAGCTTCTTTTTATCCCTCTGATTTCTCTTTTAGTAAGTATTGCTTACATTACTCATGTCCTTACGTATTGGGGATCTTACGGTATTAAATGTGTTGATTTGGAAAGCTTTTGTACAAAGTTATATTGAAAAAACAGTCTCGTCCTTAATTTTTGCACACCAGTGTATATTTATGTGTAACACTTACTGGATTTTATTTAAAAACCTTCCCATAGCTAGACTTTTTTCCTTTTTTTAATGCTATACTTTACATCGACATGTTCCTTTTTTTATATAAACGTATTTATTTGTTATCAGTATGTATCTCAGTGAATGGAGGAAAAAATCTGTCTCTCACACTCACATGCAGGCACACAAAATATCTTAAATAAACTGGTTAAAATTATCTGATGTCAAATATTATACCCAGACTAAAGTATATTCGTATTTTATAGTTGGTAAAGGGAGAATACAGTCAAAATTTGTTAATCCGGAATGATCTATAATCCGGACCTCAAAGCTACAAACT